CTCAAATTCCACTTTTTAAGATTAATGAAAGTACTGCTTTTTGTTGTTGTTGTTGTTTACCATGTCCACTCCCTCAGTTGGAAAGCTGTCTAATGAGACTTCTGAAAGCAAACATCTTTATCCTTAAACATTCTTACCTACTGTTGACTCTCTGACATGATGCAGGGATCGACCGTATAGCTGTGAAAGCTATTTAATGCTTCTTTACCAGAGGTGCTGATCTTAAAAGGAGTCAGTTGTACAGTCAGTGCCATTGTTTAAGAGACACTCTTTGGATCCTCGTGACATAAGAGTTATTGCTCTAACTTTATTGTTAAAGTGTTGGTGGCTGTATAATTTTAACAACACAATTTCAGTGTAGCTTTTAGCTTAGCTAAGACATTAAAAGAATTTTGGCCACCATGATGGCTAATCTTGGGGTGGGGGATGGAATATGACCTATCGATTTTTCTTGGTCTTTTGGCAGCTTTTTACAACATTGACCATGATATTTTACTGAATTGGTTTCACAGTTTTGAAATGGAAGGAATGATGTTAGAGTAGTTCTCTTTTATCTGTAGAATTGGTTGTCAAAATTGGCATAGGGAGAATTTCTGCTTGGTCTCTTATAATCCTGCAAGCTAGCTAGCTAGCTAGTTAGCTAATTAATTAATTGTTTTAATCTACTTCTGTATTCAACAAAATGACTTCTGGTAATTTACAACATAAAAATGGAACAAAAACATAAAGGCCAATAAAAACACAAGCAACCATAAAAGTGGTAAGTGGTAAAGGCCCTCCAGAACAACTCTGCCTTTAACAACTTCTGGAAGATCAGCAATGAGGGTGCCAATCTAATCTCAAGGGGGAGGGAAATCCACAAACATGAGGGCTGAAACAGAAAAACATTGCCTGCAAGCTTCAGCCCCCAACCTCTTTCATCATTGAAATATGTTGGCGGGACATTTGCACTGGACAAATTGGACAAGACACCTCTGTTTGGAGAAGGGAATCCTATGAGTAGCTTGGTGTAAAACCATATAAGGTTTTATAGATCAAAACTAGCATGTTGAATTGAACCCAGAAATGTATAGAAATTGATAACCATGGAGTGACTGTAAAACAGGTGTTATATGACTATGACAACTTTGGTTTACTAATATACGGAGCACTGCATTTTGCATCAATTGCAGTTTCTGAGTGGTTTTCAGAAGTAGCGCCATGTAAAATGCATTGCAGTAATCCAAACAGATGATAATGACAGCATGAGGTATTGTGTTTCAGCCCCACTAGGTAGAACAAATCAGGAAATCAACTCTACAGGAAGGCTAAAACTACTTTTATTGAGATTGGCTATAGTAACAGAATCTTTAAATCTGATAGTATTGTACCTCCTCCTCTTTCTTATACTCCAGTGAATTAGGGAGTCATCTGCCAGAGCTGCTACCAGATGTTATCTCATTGTTCTGGACTTTTAAAAATTTTCAGCCTCCTTTGCCTAGAAAACAAATTCTGCATATTTCTGTCAAGATCATCTTCCTTACTCTACACTGTGGAAGACTCTGTTGGTACCTAAGTTTGGTAATGAGCTAGATAAAGATCAGTAAACTAAAGTTAAATTTTGACAAGATCACACCCTTGTCTATAGATAGTTCATATTTCTCTAGAGGTATGTAGTACAGATAGTCCTTGGTTAATGACCATTCATTTAGCACCTGTTTGAAGGTGCAACAGCGCTGAACGAGGAGACTTATGCCTGGTCCTTGAAGTTGTGACTGTCACAGTGTCCCTGCAGTCACATGATCATGATTCAGGCACTTGGCAACCAGCTTACAATTACAACAGTCACAGTGTCCCACAGTTATGTAATCACCTTCACTGCCAGCTTCCGACAAGCAAAGTCAGTGGGAAAGCTGGTAGAAGGTTGCAGATGGTGATCATGTGACATCGCACTTAACATCCACGCAGGATTAGCTTAACAACCACAACCGAAACTGCTGTTGTAAGTTGTCACGGTCATATGATGTCACACTTTATGACTGCGTCGCTTAGCAACAGAGTTCCCAGTCCCAATTACCATCATTAACCAAGGACTACCTGTATTGAAGTCTCAACTGGGAAAGAGGTTTTGGACCTACTGTAGACATACTCACTGTAGCTGTTGGTGGCTTTAAAGAGCCCATGTCTTGGGACTTGAATCCAAGAAAGCCACTTTTTCTTTAAAGATCTACAAGCAGATACAGCTGGTTCCCAAGTGGTTTAGTGGTTAAAGTTTTATATTAGCACTAGGAAGTCTCTTCCCATTGATTGAGAAGTCTCCCCTCAGCCATAAAAACTCATTGGGTGACTTTGAGCCACTTATTCTCTTTCAGCCCAACCTACCACACAGCGATGTTGTAGGGAAAAATACAAGGGAAGGTGCATTATGTATGCCACTGAACCTCCCTACTTTGGATACAAATACTGTATACTTCTAGTGCTCTCCAATTTATTTTATTTTATTTATTTATTTATTTATTTAATAGACTTGTCCCTGCCCATCTCCCCACAATGGGGACTCTTAGCAATAGAATAGCACTCAGAACAGCTTAATACTGCATGTTCCCATTAGTATCTGACTAACTGACTTTAATCAACTCTACCCAACAGGAATATTGCAAGAAATTAACTCCTGTGATTTTATATAAATTGCATGCCTAATATGTTAGACTGCCAATCTAGATCAGTTTGCCAGTATTAAAGATCCTGTCAATTTTGTTATAATAAAACAAAAAATAATTTCTACAACCTAATGTAGATATAACTTCCATACAATTTGTGTTTTAAAAACTCAGTGTAAATGTATTTGTCTCCTTCCTTCCTGGGTATAAGTTCTCCTTCCTTCCTTCTTTCTGATTTTGGAGCAATTTAAATGTGTAATTAATCAACAGTTTACAGAGTGTTTGTCAGTCATTTAAAAGTGACAGTGATCAGCAATAGTTTCAGTGTTACACTGCACTATTACTAACTCAAGAAAAGGGAAAAGAGAACAATGAACATGTACAGTAGGACAAAATAGATAGCAAATAAGTTTATATTTTTTCCTGATTTTTAACAATTATTCACAGATATGGAATACAATTTGTTATTAGCCCATATTAATTCAAATTACTTAATAGTTATACTCTTATAACGTTCTAAAGACACAGGATAGCTCCCAGTAACCACTCTCATGCTACATATAGATGGAAATCTAAATAAGACCAGAAATGGTTCTGCATATCATGAATATGTTTGGTAGCCAGCTTGTGGATTACTAATTCAGAAGATACATTAACCCGAAAGCATGGGATTCATTTTGCACCTAAAAACATAATATGCCTACAGCCACAAGTCAGAGATTCAGAAATATGCTGATAGGTGTATATATTGTTGGGTATAGATGTTTTTACTGCTAAAATATTCTCCTTCATTTGTTAATTATTTCTAACTATTGTATCTTAGTATTATGCAGAGTTGCCAGAAGAAGAGAGAGAGAAAAAAGTAACTACCTGTTCTAGACATCGATCTCGTTATGCTCCTCCTGACACGCCAGAACATTTCTGGGAAGTTGGATTCCCTTCCACACAAATGTGTGTTGAAAGAGGTAATTATATAAAGCAATACTATATAAAAATGGAAGCATAAGTTGTGTTGCCAGAAATACGCAGGAATTTGGATAGAAGCAACAAAGGGTGGTTGCTTCTTGGTTTCTTGGTTACAGAAAATGAAGCCCACAGAAATGAGTAAACTGAACCTCTCCTAGGTAGAAAGCAAGACTTCTTCCTTTCCCAAGAAGGATCCCCCCCACCTCCCTTTACTCTTTAGTTCTGGCATCTAGGAAACAGCAGCAGCATTCCTCTCGGCTCCATTTTAAGGACCTTTAAGGAGGGGGAAAAAGACAACCAGAGGTACAGGTAGTGAAGCAGCATTCAGTGAAATGCAACTCCAGAAACAATATCCCTGCTAAGTAACACGATGATCAGAGGCTGCAGCCAAAAAGCCACCTGGAAATATATTTCAAAAGGACTGGGAAAAAGGAGTAAAATAGGAGGAATAGTAATTAAGTGAGTACAAAGACTTTTCTCAGAACAGTTTAGCAAACAGAGAAGCCAAGAGACAATGGCAGCTAGCCCCATGGGAGATCAGGAGGCCACATGGAATCCTCCAGCTCCGTGAGAAATGAGACCCCAGGCAGCACCAACTGCAGTGACTCTGGCAACCAGGAGCTATGCATGGCAGATCAGGAGGCCTCTTGGAAACCTCCTCTCTATCTGAGTGAAGCAGTGGGCAGCAGCAACTGTGGTAGTCAGGAAAAAACGCTTGAGTGGCATCAATTGGGACAACTCTTGCCCAGGCTAAACACCAGGTAGGCCTTTGGCAGTCATTCTCTGAAGACTAGGCAAGTCACTAGGTTGGCAAGGTAGCACAGCAGTGCTCAGTTGCTCCAGACTGCCATGAGGAGTAGTAAGTCAGATCTCCCTTGGTTCCATCAAGAGGATGCAACAAGAGAACCAAAGGATTCCTGATATAGCAGTATGTCAGAGGAGGGATATGTGAGCCCCAAGAGAGGAGCAAGGGAATTGTGTGCCTGCATGTCTAAACCCATGTCTTAATGGTTGCTCTGTTCTTTTTGGAGGATGATTGGAGGAACCTGTGAAAGAATAAGCCATCATAAAATCCAATTGATTTAAATATGTCTAAACACCCAGTGAAGCAGATTTGTTGCAAACTCAAGTATTTGAATTTAAGGGTGGCAGTCACTGTATGCATAATTATTACATCAGCTTTTCCCAATCCAGTACCTTCACACATGGTATCCTGACCTTCAGACAGCTCCCATAAGCCCTGAACAAAGAATGGATGGAGCACTGAAGCAAACCCACAAAACAGCAGTCTTCCACCATTGGCCATGTCCAAAACACGGCCACACTGTTCCTTCCACCATTGTCTGAATCTTGGTTATAGAGACATATGACCTCCTCCCAGAAGTTCTGACAGAGCCCAGATGCCGAAGAGAGGGGGTAAAAAAACTAGCCAGAGCAACAGAGCTCATGACAGACATGTCTGTGGATCTCTTACAATTCACAACCAGGTCCATGACTTGCAGTGTTATGGCACAATAGAGCTATGGCTCAAGCACTGAGAGATGGTTCACCAACTGACAGAGAGTCCTGTGGTACCCTTCCCTTTTTGGGGAAATCTATTGCAAATGAAGAAAGCTTTGCCCACAGAAAAGGAGGAGAGTGGGTACAGAAGAAAACTGTCATCATCCTTTCCTTCAGGAGACTACACACCATCTTTTTTCAGGAGGAAATAGTCAAGGAAATAACCACTGGAAGTCCCTGCCACCTCATCACAAATGTAACTCCAATAAACAAGGGTAGTTCTGTTCCAATTTTACAGTGAGGGCCAATTCACTGGACTAGTCTTTGAAAATAGGTAATCTGAAAGAATTATTTCCTGCCTGAACGTCACTTGAATTAGAGACAGGGAGAATAGGAGAACCGATGGGTAGAAGGAATGTTTTTCCACTTGTCCAAAGGCACCCGACTAAGCCACCCTGCACATTCATGGTGTCTACACAGTTTAGTGTGTTTAGTTTTATCAATTATTGTTTGTTGGTTATCAGTGTAACTTAGTTGATAGGAAACTACACTGTATTTTTGTTTGTTTCATACTTTATATGATATAGACATGTATCCAGTAATTGCTATTTAGGGATGTAAACAGACAAATACAAGCTGCAACAACAAATGATATTTTGCCTATTGATTGCAGTGAATTCTACCCATAACCTTTTACAGTGTCTTATTAGGATATCACTAATCCTCATTAATAAGAATAATAAACAATGTTTTTTATTGTTTAGTTTTTGAGTGTTCACATTCTTCTGGCAATCCTTAAATTAAACCTATTGATAAAATCAGTATTATCTTCCTACTACAGATGCACAGCTGAATCAATAATTTGATTCTATAGCAATAATTTGTCTATAGCAATCTAGTAAATCCATGTATAAAGTGAAAATTGAATTAGCAATCTTCCCATTTAAAGTTCAGCCTTCTATGCACTGTGCTGTAGTAAGCAAAGTTTACTAAATTTTTTAGAAAGTCTGCAGAGAATGTGACATAAAATGTCCCCTATTTGCACACACAAAGTTACTTTTGCATCTCAAAATATAAATTGTCCCATAATAGTTATTCAGACACTTATAAATTGACAAATAGCACAGCTTCCTACTCACTTCATAGTTGTGAACACAGCAGTGTTTTGCAATAACAGTTCTGAATGAAAGCCAATCTTTCGGATCAAACTTTTGTCACCTTTTATATCAAACTGATACAATTTTTATCCTGAGAAATTACTTGAATTAACTATTTTATAATCTTAACAAAGACAATATATTATTTTTATTTCCGTATGTGTATGAACACAAAAGCTTTAAGTCACTTGTTAAGTTACTAATTCATTTTTTGTTTCTCAATAGTATAAAACTATAGCATGTAATTGATTTTTTTATCAAGATCTTTTATGATTATTACATTCTGAAGTTGGCAGAAATTCATGTCGCTACAATTTACTAGTATTTTCTTTTACCAGAACCATAGTGTGAACATTTGTTGTCTTTGTTTTTTTAAGGTTATATAAAAGAAGAGTTTGCTCCCTGTCCACGTCCCAAAAGAAGGCAGCCTTATAATGTGATGTTTTCTCCAAAAGGCAAAGAACAAAAAACATAACTGGGAAGGAAGTAAAAAAAAAACTAAAATAGACATTTTTGTTTCAATTCGTATTTATAATCGATTAAAAGATAAATATTAAAGAGAACTGGGAATTCCCTTTCCTTGTTCTGTTTGAAAACTATAACCTCTAAATGCAACTATTTAATGTAAAGAATATGTATGTATTTGTAGATACATTTTTGTGTCTTGGCTGATTTTGCACCTTGTGTGTACTTCTGATCCTTTGGAGGTCTACAGTTTAGCTCGCTGCAATTAAGCTTGGTGTAAGTTAGTGTGATTTATTTGGACCAAGCAAAGTTGCAACTGCTCATTTCAGGTCTAGAATAGTTCCATGAAGTTTAGGTGGAACCTTGTAGGGTGCTTCTATTTTGCACTTGATAATTTAATGCGTAACCATTTGCTTTTTGTAATAATTTTTGAAAAATATATAATAAAGTGTACTTTCTTAATTATGACTCTTTACAACAGTTTATCAAATCTTTTATTCCATGCAGGTGCATAACCTGTTTGGAATCTGTTATAGCTTATAGAATTTCTTGGCGAGAGTGGTGCCCTTTGTATGCATGACTAAGACACAGAATCCCTGCAGTTTGTTTTTGACTGCAATAGCAGTTGAATGTTTATTCTTGAAGCCTGTCAGTTCTTATAGAATTGTTCCTTTTTCCAACTTATTCTATTATAATTTATTTTATTTACTTTGTAGCACCTGTGAGGGAATTTAGGATGCAGATTACCTTGAAGGCTCCATTTTGCAAATATTAATTTGTGATGACAACTCCCCCCCCCCATCATATGCCCACAATCTTTGCCTATTTTGCCTTAGCAAAGGCTACAGGGAAGCCTCTTGTAGGCAATGCCAGGTCTTTCTCATCTCTATCCACAATCCCTAACCTGTTTCTCGGATCCCTAGGATCCTCTCAGCCTCATTTTGAGCACATTCAGCATCCTCATCTGCTAGAAATCTCCATAACTTTGCCATTTTACCATCAGCAGAGAAATGGATAAACTACCATCTAAAATATTTGCTCCACTTGGTCCATATCAGAGTAAAAAGAAAAAAATTAAAAGGAATAAGGGTCTCCTATGAAGCTTCTGATCATATTTATGGTTAATTCACCATATTGAGCTTCTGCATCTTTGCTTCTGCCAGTAATTTCATTGCTGGATTCACAAATTTAGATCATCCACTCCTCTGGGCCCCCTTCAGAATTGGTGTATGTTTACATGAGAGGACACATCTTCATGTCTGAGGAACTTGGCCTGATAGAGACTGTAACAGATGATTAAGCCTATAGGCTAGAAAGTGGGAAATCTCTCACCTACCCTTCCAGAAGCCTCCTGGTCTTCCCACCTCCTAATTTAGGATAGTGGCTTTATGATTTTTGCTGCCACCACCTGTGTGAGAGAAGGCTTTCATAACTTGTTGCCTCTCTGGCAATTAAAAGGTGAAAATACAAAGGTTGAAATAATGCACATAATGCCAGTTCCTGGCATAGAGATGTGTGACTGGAGAATTCAGCCCTTCCTTCCAATCTCACAAGAGATTAACATTTTTTTAATTTAAAAAAAATAAACTACCCCTCCCTTTTTAACTTAAAGTATTAAAATACCAACTTTCAGCACTGAAGAAGATAAATACAGATCACAACATAGTATTCAGCCACTTGCCAATCAGTTAAAAACTCCAAAAGAAATAGAAAGCTGTGATTATACCATAAGATGGTACATTATTGGACAGAAAGTTTATAAATAGAAATATTTCTTCACGTCCAGTCTGGGATATCGATCAGGACTGACATAAAACTCAATTTTCTGACTTGTACAAAAATAAAGAGCATTAGACTTAGTATAGCACAAAAACATAAATCAAGAATAAGCGCAAAATGTCTATCTCTAGCAAAGAGAGAGGCTGAGGATATTGAATGTCTGGGCAGCCAAAACAGGCATTATAGCATGTCAACAAACTGGAATTGTTAGTTGTTTGAAAGGCACTTCAGAACTTCCTCCAAGACAAAACAGTCCAGATTGTATAGTTCTTAGTTATGTCAACAAGAAAGATAATATCACATGCACTGTCCTTTTATACCTCATACTGCAAATTTGCCATTTTGTTCCATAAAATTCTATCACAACCATTTCTTCCTTTTATGTCCTGGTGAATGGTATCCATCTTTTCTAATCTCCTTTGAAAAGTATATTAATGAAGGGTTTGATTTGTCTTTACCCACTAGTACCCCCACAGGTCTCTGCTTGGAGTCTTTGTTGACTCCATACTAAAGTGAAAGCTTTTTGAATTAATTGCCACATTCAGCTACTTTCATGGAAAACAGCATTTTTAACAGTAGTAACATTAGCTCACTGGGTGGGGAAACTCTGCTTTATGTTAGGATCCACTTTTCATCACTGTTCACAGGGATAAAATTGTCCTTCATTAGATATCTTCTATCTCCTAAAGTCAGTTTCCTCATTCCATTTAGTGCCTTTTTTCCCCCACAATGCTTCAACCCTGACTGGAAAACCATTCCATTCCCTCAATGTTTGGAGAGCACCTGCTTTTTCTATATCAGTGTCAACATCATCATCACAAATTTAGAAAAGAGTTGACAGCAAAATTCCATTAAAATAATAGCATAATAAAAACTGATTTGAAACTGTATGTAAAATTCTAATGACATGACCTCTAGAAACAGTCCAAAGTAGATTCTTACAATCAATTTTCATGTACTTGTGTACCAAATATCACAAAAGCTGAAGGTAGGATTGCTTAAAGTAGTCAAAGGTATGGCTAGTACTATCAGCGTCATTTCAAAGAAACCTTCCTGGTTTTGGCCTTTCAATGTTTATCCAAGGAGTTGGGCTTCCTGTTTTTTCCAGGTGGATAGCCGAAGACTTTGTGGTGAGTTACTGAAGGAATAGAGTCCTCTTTCAATATGTGCTCGCTCCACAAGAGCTACAGCCGCATCTTCAGCCTTTATACACAGGCTTTCCTTACAAGAATTATCCAAAACAGCTATTTGACATTAGCCTTCCACTTTCTCCAACACTGCCAATCAGATCTCCAGTCTCAAAGCAATGCAAAGTCTGGAAGAGCAGTTCTGTCTTTAGTCACAACCTGCCCTCCTATCCTCCCAGGAACTGAAGGGCTTCAATTGGAGCCCAGGCCATGCACATCTTGTTGGCAGGATTCCTAACAAGAAATTCTATCAGTTCTACAAGATTTAGAGTGGGATCTATGCAGCACAGATCCCATGTGGGTCAATTCACAAATAACAATTCAAAGAACTTTAGTTATAGTTAAGTAATGAGTTCTTCTGGATTTAGTGCCATATATAAACTAGCTTTATAGGGAATATCATTTTCACTTGTATCAGACTTGGTTTGTTTTTTAAAGAAAAACTTAAAGCACTGTGAGGGTTCTTTGCCTTCCAAGGACTGGACACATCACAGCGTAGCAAATCTGTACAAAATGCTTTATTGCAGCACACGCCTTCCCCAACAACAGACTGCTCTTCACCCTTCTAGGACTTGCAAGGTGATGTTGCCATGTAAATATGTCTTTAATACTCAGTCCTTTAACACTTAGTTCAAGCAAAAGTATATAAAGTGTATGAAGTCTATATAAATATATAAAGTCTGTAAAGTAGCATACTATCTTTGCCTTTTTCCAAATGTTCTTACACTAGTTGAGATGAGGTACTGCTTCAGTGTGGTTGTTCCTCTTCCAGTTGCTACTGAGCTCCCGGCAAGCTCCAAACTCCAGGCAGGACTCCCACCAGGATATGCTACTCACCATAACTTGTGGTCCTGGCAGTTGAATAATGGTCCTCTTGCCTGCTTGTAATAGCTGCCAAATTTCAGACGTCACCTCTGCTTCCCCATCTGTACGCACACACACCTCTCCACTCTGTCTTAGCATTTCTTTTGGTAAGCTAAGAGCCTGGGTGAGGTAAGGCTGCCTCTGGACATTCACATGTCCTTGAAAACGCCAGGGTATGGCTCATTGTCACAGGCAGCTGGAATGCCAGTTTGGACGTTTATGAGTAAAGTTTGTGTTAGGGAAATGAGGGAAATGGGGTGAGAAGCGTTTTTGCCTGGCTGCAGCTACTTTTCCCAAGCACAGACAGCAACCCCAACTTCACTCCCTTACAAGCACTGACACAAATACTGTATTATTAAAGTTGACCAGAGGAAGAAGTTCAAGTGCTTATATTTTATTCCTATTTCAGATTGAGCCTGAAAGTACTTCATTGATTCAGCAATTAGTGGTTCATTGGGCAGAGAATACAGATACCATGTGCTCACACACTGGTACATGAGGGTCATAGAATTTCCATTGCCCTTTACCTAAATTGGAGAAGGAGTCAGTGTCACCCTCTGTCCTCATCCAATCTGCCTACTAAATGATTTACAATAGTGTACAGGTTACCTGAACTAAACAACTGACACCAAGAATTACATAAGAAGTGTAGGTGTTTCAGCACTGGAAAGTAAGGTACAAATTAAACTGCCTAATTATGAAGAATTTTCTTTCTTCATATACATAGAGAACCAATTTAAATATTTCTCTTGGATATAAAAGAGATACCATTTCTGTTTATTAACCATCCTGTTTCTAATACACACTTAAGATTGATACTTTAAGGCAGAATAGCTTTATGGCAGCTATTAGAATTTCCCTTGAACTGGGAAAGGTATTCTTATTCCTTGTGTTACTTGCCAGTGTTCAGCCCAGCGGTCCTAATAAGGGAAAAGGGAAAGGTAGCAGGAGGAAAGGAAACACTTAGAAGCTAAACAAACATATAATAAATAAAATTTTTAACTTGCATAAAAAATTGATTCCCTGCATATCATCATCATCATCATCATCATCATCATCATCTTTAAACATGTATGCTCCCCAACTCTCAACAACTGCTTAGCTCACAACAAAGAAATTACAGTAAAATCAATAAAAGATGGCAAGAGTGACAGACTGGATAGAATGAAGCTAGGGATCTCACTCTCCCTCACTAAAGGTCTGGGTGAAGACCCAGGTCTTCACAGATCTTCTAAGTATCACCATAGTGGGGGCCATCCTGATCTTGGGAGGACCTTGTTTCTGAGGGCAGGTGCTGCTACAGAGAAAGTGTGCTTCCAGAGTCCCAATAAATGACATTGTTTAATCAAAGGAACCCAGAATGCACCATCCCTGAAGGATCAACTTGGCCAGGCAGATGCTACAGGAGACAGGCCCTATGCCATGTAGGGCTTTATAGGTAACAATCAGCACCCTGAATTGCACCCAGAAGCAAGTTGGCAACCACTGAAGCTCGCAGAGCAGAGGTGTTACATGGGCATACCAAGGCATGCACATTACTGCTTGTGCCACCACATTCTGGACCACATGAAGCTTCCAGGTGGTCTTCAAGGGCAGTCCCATTTAGAAAGTTTTGCAG